AAAATTATAATGAAATAAGGCAAAAGTTCGAAGTCTTAGATGAGCGGAAAGTAAAGGTGTTGATTCCATACTCGAGGCCCTATTTTCCTCGGTATGCAGTGTGTCTACTCAAAAAATGGAAGCCCAGCCAAAATACTCGAAGGAAAATTATTCAATGACAATCTCTTTGTCGGAGTCGCTCGTTACTACCTCCGTGTCATTGAATTTCCAAATATTGTGCATTCCGCGTTGGTGCTTTTGAGTTAATTTCTTTATCTACCTTGCCTTGTGTCCGCTGTAATCTCGTATTCCTTTTTTTCAATAAACGGAAATGAGAAAGCAGGGTTTGACTGCAAGGTGAGAGAGATCCAGGGCGCCTGCCAGAGCGGCGATTTTTGATTGGTCAACCACGCGCTCGGGTAAAAGTCATCACGGTCACCGCGGTTGTCGCACCGCACTCTGACTGGTCGACTGAGCGACGCGTGCTCTGCTGCTGACGCCCAATAAAACCTTGAATTCGGCGCGGGCATCGCATTTATGTTCGCTATGTGGTCGGAGAAGGTAAACGGTCAGGAAGGGATCGCTATGAACGCTCTACTCACAGGTAAGTTACGGCATATGCTCTTTACAAACAAGTTATTTTGTACTCAGGGATTTGGCACTATTTCCACCTCCACACCGAAAAAATGAAAAAAGGCTAATAATACATAAGTGGGGTTTTAAAAACAGTTGAATTTTGTGTTTTTTTACGGGGTTTTGCTGCTAAGGGACCCTTGTCACAGTTAACTTATTTAATTCGTGCATTTTGAGTTATATAATCGTGAATGCTTGTATCCATCTACAGATGAGCCCTCATGGAACCATTCAGTATCCCCATCGGCAGTTCCCTCAAGGAAAAAGCCTCGGGTCTCCTCAACTCCCTATCGGAAGGATCAGCGACTCAGTGGATGTAATGCGTGGTCTGGAAGCGATCAGATATTGCCGGTGCCTTTTCAGAGACCTGACTGCCTCTTTTCTGTTTCCGCGGTTCTTGATTCCTCCTCGAGCGATCCCGCAACTTGGCCGTCGACTCTGGAAGATGCATCCGTCGCCGCTGTCAAGGAAGTCCAGTACCCGCATTGTCAACCGTTGTCGACGGCGAGCGAAGCTTTGGATCTGCGAGTTACTAACCAGAAGCCGCAGGATTCCCGTCCCCTGGCCTTTACCAATACGGCATTTCCAGTACCGCCGCTGGGTTCGCCAAGTCTCTTCGCTTTCAACTCCAACCCAGGCAACGACTTGATTGATCCCCCAACCGCAATCAGCTGGAACCTCGCTCTGGTCAACGCCTTCTTTCGAGGCTTTATCCAACGCCGACTCTCACCTGCAGAGGCTGTGCCCTCTCCAGCGTT